ATCATTGCGGAGGCAATAGGCCGGGCTCAAGAGGTGGATAAGAGAGCCCCTAACGAGACGTTTAAACAACCTCCGCCGCGACAGCCGCCAACACCTCAACAACAAACCCCCATGCAAAATCAGCACCAGCGCGGGGAGAGGGGTGACGAGGAGGATGCTAGGTCAGTGACCTCCCGCCCGATGGCGACGGAGCAACCAGAAAGGTTAACTTTGGAGAGGTTGGCAGCTCAAATGCGGGAACTCCAAGCTCGGGTGCAGGGTAAGAGACCTGTAGTCTCGCGAGGACACCCCTTTGCAGAGGATGTCTTAGGAGGAGACTTGCCTAGCAACTTCAGGGAGTTGAGTTTGTCCTATGATGGGTCGGCGGACCCAGCCAGGCACTTGAGATCGTTCGACAACATAGCTGTGCTGCACAGGTATAGTGATGCTGTGTGTTGTCGAGCCTTTTTGACGACATTAAAGGGGTCGGCGCAGGATTGGTTCCATCAGCTGCCAGCAGGATCTATCGATTGCTTTGAGAAGTTCAGCTCTCTGTTTCTGAATCAATTTGCGAGTGCTAGGAAGCATGAGAAGACGTACCTCTCGTTGATAAATATGCAGCAGAAGGAGGGGGAGACCCTGCGGTAATATGTAGCGCGGTACACTAAGGAGTGCGTGGAGGTCCCCTCTGCCTCGGAAGAAGTAAAAGCTGGAGGCCTTACTCGAGGATTGAGGCCTGGGAAATGCAGGGATTCCTTGGCGAAGCGGCCGGCAAGATCATTTGACGAGCTCTTGGAGAGGTGTAGCAAGTATGTGAATATGGAGGAATCGGAGGCGGACTTCATCCGGAATGATAAAATAAAGGCTAAGCAGGTTGAGGAAAGGCCTCGACAAGGTGATCGACGAGCTCCCCTTAAGGAGTCTCGGGTCAAGGATCGATTCAGGGGTTCAAGGTACGAGCACTACAAACTACTTAATGCTCCACAACAGGAGATCCTAGAGATGATGGAGAAGCGGGGGGAGGATAAGCTGCTTGCACAACCAAAGCCCCTACCCCCACCGCGGAAATTTTCAGAAGGAAAGGATAGATATTGTCGGTACCACCGAGACTATGGTCACTCTACTAACTTTTGTCGAGAGTTGAAGGATGAGATTGAGCGGCTCATTAGGGCCGGTCATTTGAAGGAGTTCGTGATCCAGGATAGGGAGCGCCGAGAAGATCGCCGGGAGGAGCGTGAGTCAGGGGACAAGCGGCGGAGGACTGCTGAGCAGCCTGACAGACCGGTGAAGAAAGGTGTAATACACATGATTGCGGGAGGTCCTACGGATGGAGACTCACACAGAGAGAGAAAGAGGACTTACCGGGGTAAGGGTGTGGCTAATGAGGTGGCTGAGGTACAGGTGCAGAGGAGCCTGGCCACCTTGAAGTTTGGAACTGGCGATGTGCAGGGGCTTGCCGTCCCACACAATGATGCCTTGGTCATCACTGCGGAGGTGGCTAGTTACGATGTGCAAAGGGTACTCATAGACACAGGAAGCTCGGCGGACATCATTTTCCTAAAGTGCTTGCAGCAGATGGAGTTGGACGTGAAGGTCGAGCCAGTCCATACGGCCCTCTATGGCTTCAGTGGTAGTGAGGTCCGTCCCGTTGGTGAAGTTAGTTTGACTGTGGCATTGGGAAGGTCGCCTTTGAGGAAGGTGAAGATGGTTCGCTTCTTGGTCGTAGATGCTAGCTCGGCCTACAACATCATACTGGGGCGGCCTAGCTTGAACTCATTCCAAGCAGCAATTTCGACTTATTGCATGAAGATCAAGTTCCCCGTAGGGGATGAGGTTGGGGAGGTGACTGGAGACCAGTTGCAGTCTCGGCGGTGCTATGAGGTCACATTGAAGACGGCCGAGGCGCAGCATAAGAGGAAGAGTGATGACCTGCCTGAGTGCTCCCGTCGGGAGAAGAAGCAAGAATTGGGAATTAGCTTCCCGGACGAGCTAATGGAAGATATAGGGGTGGTTGTTGCCGCGATCGTGGAGCATATCGTATTTGAATAAATATTATCTGTCGTTTGAGACATGTGATCTTTAATTGTTTTCGTTTGTTAATGGTTATGTTTTGGAGAGACAAGTAATAAAATTTCATTTGAGGTATTTTCAGCTTAACTCTTTTCATGTATGATATGTGTGCAGGGCGCAAGCCTGTCAGTCTCGCCTCAGCTCACGGAGCTAGGCGACGACCTCTTTAGGGCGAAAGCCTGGCTCGTCTCGCCTCAGCTCGCGGAGCTAGGCGACGACCTCCATAGGGCGCGAGCCTGTTCGTCTCGCCTCAGCTCGCGGAGCTAGGCGACGACCTCCATAGGGCGCGAGCCTGGCAAGTCTCGCCTAAGTTCGCGGAGCTGGGCGACGACCTCCTTAGGGTGAAAGCCTGGCAAGTCTCGCCTAAGTTCGCGGAGCTGGGCGACGACCTCTTTAGGGCGAAAGCTTGGCAAGTCTCGCCTAAGCTCGCGGAGCTGGGCGACGACCTCTTTAGGGCGAAAGCCTGGCAAGTCTCGCCTAAGCTTGCGGAGCTAGGCGACGACCTCTTTAGGGCGACAGCCTGGTAAGTCTCGCTTAAGCTCGTAGAGCTAGGCGGCGACCTTCGTGATTGACGAGGTCGTCATGTAGAATTGAGATCATGAGACTTGAAAGACTTAGCAATAATTGTGCTAGGTGCAAAAGCCCGTGGTCACAATGCTAAGTGCTTTCAAGTCATAGTGAATGAAGAGATGTGGTTACTTGTATAACAATAAGTTATGCAAGTGCGAACAATTCAAATAAGCAAGCAACACGATGAAAATAAAGCGTTGAACGAGTACATGCCCGAATAAGCCCCCGCAAGGGTAAATAAGTTCGTGGTTACATACCAAGATAACAAAAGGGGACAACTAGAAAAAAAAAAGGGTTCAACACGTCTGGTCCCATAAACAGAACATAGAGTACTCAACGAAAGTCACGAGTAAATCTAAGAGGGGAGCCCGTTGTCCTCCGGCTCGGGGACCATCTCTGTCTCTAACCCGACCTCAGCTGCGATGGCCTTCGCAGCGGCATCCAAGGCCGGCTCCCACCAAGAATGGGTCATCGGGAGAGATGGATCGCCGTTCCATCCCGCGGGGGTAGGAAGGCCGACCATCATCTCGAGCTCCTCTGCCTCACCCACGGAAATATCGGCTCCTTCTTCTTTCACCTTCGCCAGGGTTCGGTGGATCCCCTCGTGGAAGTATAGGCGGCATGCTGTGCATATCCTCTCCAGATAGGCCCTGGAGTCATGGTACCTCGATAGCAGCTCGCGTCGGTACCGCTCGACGAAGTGACATCCGAGTTCGGATGCTAAGAAGGAAGTCAGTCCCTCGGCCCGGGCGTGGGCAACGCGCTCATCCACTGACGAGCGTAGCTCCTCGAGCTCGGCATCCTTGGCCTTGAGCTGGGCATCCTTGTCTTCGAGTTCGGCCTCTTTGGCCTTAAGCTCGGTGTCCTTGGCCTTGAGTTTGCCTCGAAGTTTTTCCTTCTCGGCTTTCTGAAGGTCGAGAGTCTTTTGAAGCTTGGAGAGTTTCTCTTCACCCTTTTTCACCTCTTCCTTGAGGGACTCCACCTCGGCGTCATCGCCCTCTAGCTGTTCCTCAAGGAGGGGCGCCATGCCCGCCAAAGCCTAGTTGGAAAGGAGGATGGGTTATATATAAATTTCACAACATGTGTTTATTGAATAGGAGATGAAGGTAATAAGTATGTACCAATCCAAGGTGATGAGTGATAGCGGCGGCTCGGTCTACCTTGGTGGGCCATCTCGTGGTCTCGCCCCGCGGGAAGATGTCGACGAGGTAGGAGCTGGTCACTGAGACGTCCTTGTTCCCGGCGACCGTGTTCGGTCGTTTCAAGGGTGCTTCGGGTCCCTCTGCAGATCTGAGCCTCTTGCGTTTGGCCGAGAAGGTCTTCCCCGGGCGATCGCGGGGGTAGGTGCGCGGAGGAGAGCGCAAAGGAGTATTGCCCTTGGGGGGATCGGCCACTGGTGTGGTTAGCCCCTTAGGGGGAGTCGGGACCTTCTCTGAGGGCCCAATGGGAGCTGTGGTCACAGTCGTGGGGGGCGCGGCCACGGTCTTGAGGAGCTCCTCTGCAAGACAAACAAAAGATAGATATATAAGTAAACAAGTTATATGCATATGATTAACGTGAAAAAGAAAGTAAGGGGTACGATAGCGGCGCGGGATGCCCGACCCTACCTATGTCATCTACGGGGTCGGTGGCATGTCTGGATAGCCCGAAATGCCCTAGGAGCCGGTCGCTAGTGGTCAGCTTCATCATGAGAAGGGGGCGCTCATTCCACTGATCAATGAGGGCCTCGTATGTGGCGTTTCTCTTCGGGTTCTTGTCCTGCTTTGGGGTCATGGGCGGAAATTCGAAGGTATTGGGAGGGGGACGCACGAAGAAGAATTTATTTTTCCAATTGTGTGACTTCGATTGGGGTTGGTCTATGAAGCGGGTACGGGTGCGGCGCATGAGGTACGGTGCGCTTTTCGGGTTTCTAAGGCAAATGAGGGTAAATTGACAAGCACGAATGAGAAGAACAAATGACAAAAAATGCAAGCACAATATAGTAAGACAAATGTGTAATGAGGTGGTACAATATGAAAGTAATTCTCATAAATAAAGCAAAGTAATTGAGGTATGTCGCAAGAGTGAGTCAAGGAGAGCGTACCCATAAAGCTTGCTGATGCGGCCATGATGTGCGATTGGGTGAGTGCTCGTCGGAAGAGAGTGCTCGTCGGAAGAGAGTGCTCGTCGGGATCGAGTGGTGCTAGGTGCGTGTTCGGTGTGCTCGGAGATCCGGTGTGCTCGGCGAAGGCGCGGTGTGCTCGGTGCAGGGTCGATGGTGGTGCAAGTTCGGCGTAAGTCCGCGTGCTCGGTAGCGTGATCTCGGCGGAGGGACCGTGTGCTTGATGTGGTAGGCGGAACTAGATGAGCTCGTCGGGAGTACGGGCTCGCCGGAGAGTGGCCGCCGGATTTCAATTAAGAATTGAGTACTCTATTTCATAGAAAGAGAAGTTATGAAGGAAAGACATTTTGTGTAAGGAGAATGGTGAATGAAGAGGAGGAGGAAGAAGATGAGTATTTATAGATGGGAAAATTAGGGTTTTGTTGGTCTTGGGTCATCTTGACCCTTGATTTCAAAGATGATCAATGGGGGTGGAAGAATCTTGTGGGAGAAGTTTTGATGGTATTCCCAAGGAAAAAGTGGGAAGACTAACATGTGAGGGGTGTAGTTGGACACATGGGCCTAGATGCATTACTTAAAAAATTAGGGAGATGAAGAGGTGTAAGAAAAAAGGGAAAGACACCACCATGTGTGAGGTGATCAACATGGGCATGCTAGGCGTGTAGGTTGGCACCACAAGTGCTTGGCGTCCATGGAGAGCTCGGCATAGCCTAGGTGCTCGGCGTCCACGGAGAGCTCGACATCGGCCCACCACAGAGAGTTCGACATCCGCATCAGCACGTCACGACCAAGTGGTCGGCAGCGGGGGAGTGCTCGGCGCGGGGCGGCGCGGTGCGGTGCTCGGCAGGTCGGCAGAGGGGAGTGCTCGGCACTCGCATGGGGTGTTCGGCACAGTGGTGTCCCCCGTGCGCTCGGCGTGAGTGCGCGGCAAGGGGGAGTGTCCGTCGTTCGCGTGGGGTGTTTGGTATGGTGGCGTCCCTCGTGTGCTCGGTGTGAGTGCCCAGCAGATTGCCGCGTGGTGCTTGGCCTCCTTGTGTGTTCGGCCAGGCCGAATGCGCGGTATTTTTTGTGCACGGCATCGGGGTCTTGGCATAAGCGGGTGTTCGTCGTGTGGCGTTGGCATAGGTGCTGAGCAATGTGGAGTGCTAGGCACTTAGTGGTCGGCGTCCCCACTCGCGATGGAGTACCTGGTCGCGTGGGGTGCGCGGCATGCGGGTGCTCGTAGGGTCCTGCTCGGCACAGCTACTTGCGTGAGAGGGCTCGGTATGGCTAGTGTCCGGCCTTGGGGGGTAGCCCGGCGTGAGGTGCTCGGCATGCACCTGTGCTCGGCGTCGGTGGACGTCGCCTCAGGTGCTCGGCGGTGGGTATCTCTCACGTGCTGGGCTCGGTAGTAAAGTGCTCGGCATTGGCGGCACCGCGACAACACGTGGTTAGCTCGGCATGGATGGGCACTCGGCAGGTGGAGTGCTCGGCGTGGTGCTTGGCTCAGCAGGCGCTCGGCATCGGGGTAGCGCTCGGCAGGTGGAGTGCTCGGCAGGGCGGTGCTCGGCATCGGCGTGGGAGTGCTTGGCTCGGCAGGGGGCCGCTCGGCGCGAGATGCGCGGCATGTTCTCGGCATCAGGAGGTGCTAGGCGCGGGAGCTCGGCGTCGGGGGGAACGGCATTGTGAGGGTGCTCGACGTCGCGACAGGGGAGAGCTCGGCTCAGGCGCAGACCGCTCGGCAACCTAGTGGACCGCGTCTCGGTGCTCGGCAGCCCAGTGCTCGGCATCTCGGTGCATGGGACAGCGAGTGCTCGTCACGGGAGCTTGGCTGGGCAGGTGTTCGGTGCAGTAGGGTGCCCGGCGTGGCAAGGCACTTGTTAGCATAGTGCTCGGCGTGAGCAAGTGCTCGGCACCAGCGTGGGTGTTCGGCGTTGTATGGCGCGTGGTATCGCAATGATCCTACGAGGTGTAAATTGGCTTAAAATATCGTACCGTACCGCGGGGGTTCCGCCCCCGCACCCCCGGTTCAAATAGTCGACCGCTTCCCTCGCTACGCTCGCAGGCATCAGCCTGCCTTCTTCTTTTGTCAATATACGAGCCATACCAACACATTCCTTACAACAAGTTCCACTTGTTTAAGGAATGGGGGGGGCTAGATGATATGGTCGTTAATAGTGGCTCGTGAGGAACCGGTTGTGATCCGGTCATCATTGTTCATATGAAGGGGACCGGTTAAGCATTATGATAGTCGGCGGTTGGGAGTGCTCGGCGTCGCACGGTGTTCGGCGCCCCTCGAGTGCTCGGCATTGGAGGTGATCGGGATGGAGTGTCTGACGCGGCATCGTCCGGTATGATGAGTGCCCGGCGTAGGTGAATGTTCGGCGTGGGCGAGTGCCCGGCGTGGGAGAGTGCTCGGCCAAGGGAGGTGCCCGGCGGCCCTCGTGTGTTCGGCGGCCCTCGCATGCCGTCGAAGGGGCTAGAGCCTGAAGATGGCTTCGGGATCAAGTTACTGAGGAGTTGGTAGCAACTAGGACTCTCAGGATTCAGAAGACCTTTTAACCTAATGGAGAGTTTGATATGAAAAAGACTTCTTATCCCACTGGGACTCTCCATATTTCTCCTATAAAAGGGAGCAGGTTCTTTCATTTTACACAACACACATTCACGAACTATCTCGTTACTCTGCCGTTTTCTCTCTAGACCATCACTGACTTGAGCGTCGGAGTGTTCGCGCCGGGACCACCCCCGGCGTGCTTTGCAGGTACCGACGATCAAGGAGACGCAACCCGGTTCGAGAGGAGCGGTCCAGCGGTTCGAGTATTTGTGGTATAACACTCCAGTTACTGGACATGTGGCGCGTGAAAAGGGGGTTTGTTGCCTGGAAGGTGATTAGTGGAAGTCCATCGATTAGTAGTGTTGAGACATGTATCTGGTTTATGGTCGGTAATCCTATTCGTATCGAGCGGCGTGAGCCGATTTCGGGCGCCAAAAAGTTTCAAATTGAAAGGCGAAATCGGCATGAAGAAAGTTTGACCTGTGACAAGATCATCATATGAAGGAATCTCCTAAGGTGTAGATATCGGTACCCGAAGTGTCGATATCATCTATCTAAGATGCATGAAGTGCCGATGTTCCTCTAGAATGCCGGGAATGTCGATTTATTAACGTAGCTCTGGGGTGCGATGGGTGTCAATTAGATGGCAACGACCACCAATGTAATCTCATTAGAAGGTACTAACAATGCTCCAGTTCATCATTTTCAGTTTAAACTAGATTCGTATGCATAACAAGATTAAATTTGAGCCGATCAGTGACACTATAAAAAAATCAGTCAAAGTTAATGTCCTTGCAAGTAATTGTTATACTACATGATGTGCTCCACATTGAATCATTGGGTTCTTACTTCAAACTATGCACCTTTTTCAACCTTCGATTACATGTGAGGCGTCGTGAAGTGTTTGCGGAGTAAAAACTCCATCGCTCAAATCAAATCATGAAAAATCTCTACAAAATGATATCAATATTATACAAGATTGTGTAATACTATAATGTGGTTAGAATTATCTATCCGTGAGAATAATGGTATAAATACTATAATGTGGTTAGAATTATCTATCTGTGAGAATAATGGTATTTATACCGAATGACCCTTCCAAATTTACCCATGATATTTATACCGATGACCCTTCCAAATTAACCTTCTTGATAATGTAATAATGTCAAACTCTAGATTGTTGAGCCAACCTAAATCAATAAGATTAGCCGTAAATCAATAAGATTACTCTTACAACGAGCTATCACCCCGCACCACTATTTATCGAATTGATATGTGATGTAAATTGTAACATAACCATCTATTTTCTTTTAGGCCAATGACCATATGATGGTGATGAGTGACCGATTTGATAAATTCAGCAACTAAAAGTCAAATACCGGATAAAACACAAATATCGTTGTTAGACGATCTGATCTTTAGTTGGCTCTAGAAACAATCATACTTTTTCGAATAAGAATATGTACTACTACTATGATATTTCATATTTTAATATATATATATTTTTTTAAAATATGACATTTCAATTTCGATATGAATGTGTGCGTATATATATTGATAGGATTTCTGACTTTTTAATCAACTAATAAAACATGATTTACAATGGCATATGAATATGGACTTAACCTTAACAAGGAGCCATTGTCTGTATAATAAAGCACGATTTATAATGCAAAATGAATATGGACCCTAACGCTAGCCCTAACACCAGCTATTGTCTAGAATGGTGTGTGTGCGTGTGTGACACCAAGCTACTTCCCAGTGAAAAGCTTCCTGTGGACCATTTTTTATTGGGCCAAAATAGTTGGGCCCAAGACCATATAGTGGGTATGACTAAAAGTTTCAGTTTGAGAAAATTAAAGTCACACTGTTAGGCCCAAGGACATATATCTGACTTAACCATAGAAGTGACTTTACTCTGGCACTAGAAGTTATGATGCCTGAACACTGAACAAACAGGCGAGAAGATTCAGTATGTGATATAGAACATTAGATGATTTTTGTTAGTAGTTTATTCCGATTAGGCTCCAAAAGGCCTAATGAACAAGATAGTTAAACCACGACTGTTAGTCCTTATTGTGCTCCATATTTTCACAGTCAAATCCTTATAATAGGCTAACAAAACTTATTGGTGCCAGAGATTAGTCATCTCATGCTCGTCCAAATTTTATCCTAAACTCATCGTTCGTGGTAAAAAAAAGTAGCTTCATAACTTAGCCGCCATTAGCAAGTCAGACATTCAAACAATAAATTTGCAATTGAACTTGTACAATTAGAAATAAGTCGATTAACCATCATTTAATCCATTAGAAAAGGCGAAACAAAAGGAAAAAGGAGAAAGGAACAGAAAGAAATGCATGCCAAGGAAAATAAAAGCTGCTAATTTTAACATCTGCAAACAACATATGCACATTGCACAGCTACAAACTGAAATCCTAACCTAACTTCTTCTAAAACTTCTACACTTATCTACTAATCAACTAACTACCCAAGTCAGTTGTGTGTGATGTTTCTCAATACGACTCATTACACTTCAACAGCCCGGCGGCCCTTTTTCTGCGGCGAAACTTTTTCTGCACACACACAAAATAACGCAAAAAAACATGAACTCATCCTCTTCTTTTAGCAAAATTTGTTTTATTAGTGATTTTGGGCATTACTTATGTGGGCTTATATATACTCAAATTTAAACATCAAATCATTTCTGCCATAAATCTATCATTTTCTATCTTCAATGAGTGACTCTCAATCTCAAATCAATATCACCGGATAAAAGAACACGTAAAGTAGAACATTCGCGCGCACGAGCACGGGAAAAAGAAAAAACAGAAGCAAAGAAGAAATTTTTTCGACCTGGGCCCGAAGGAGCTCCACAATTCTGATGAACCACGTGCTTCACGGTTTCCCTATGCAGCAGGTTGTGTTTGACCACAACTCGGTTAGCACGATTATGGATTTCTCCATTCTCAATCTCTTTACGCCTATCCATGGTGCTATCGGGTTGTTTATTAAGTTCCTCCACTCTTGATTCTGTCTCGTTACCAGTGATATCTATGTCCACCTTTTCCTCACATTCATGGCCTAACATTTGGGTTTCCAATTTTCAATAAGACGCCGGATTTCACATTGAACCAAGTAAAAGAAACACAAAAAACAGAACCACCAAAAAAATAAAAGAAACAAAGAGAACCCAGATAAGAATAAACCAATTCTCTAAGCTTGGAAGAAAATGAACTCTTTTTGTATGCAAGCAAATACGTTTTCAACCAGATGTGCATACTATACTATCAAGGTGTTATACTCTACAAAGTATAACATACACATAAAAGGCATGAAATTCATAAATGATTCAAATCAAAGGTTGTACCTTTAAGAGGGCTAACCGAAGCTATTGAGGCGTACATATAGCAATCGCTCTTCAAATACTCCTTCACATTCTTTCCTAATTTCTTCTTCTCCTTTTCGACAAACCCTCCTAACATGGAATGCACAAATTATTCAAAGGGGCGATAAAAAATAAATAAATAAATAAAACAGAACAATAAGAAAATCAAAATCTTTACCAAAAGAATCAGGGAAAGGCGTGGGATTAAATGAGATCAAAGGCGCGAACATGTAGGTATCAGATCTCATGTAGTTGAAGACATTCTCGACTACTTTTCCTAGTTTTTTCGCTTTTCCGAGGTTCTTTTTGATGGGGGTTTTCTTCTTCTTCGCGTGGAGAGCGACAGAGGTTACCTTTTTCGCCATTAACTTGTATTTTTTGCCGACCAAAGCAAGAGATTGAGTTACAATTGTTCCTATATGGTAATAACAAAGAACGAACAGGGTAAAGAAGAAGAGATAAAATGAAGCCGAATTTTGAGGTAAAATAAAAAAGAAGGGAAAAATGGATGGTTGGTGTAAATCCGAAAACGGTTGTTGACACGTTT